GACCCAGCAGCCTCGGTGGAAGAGGCTCTCCTGCAAACCCCTCTCAGGCCAAAGGGTGCTTTGCATCTCACGGTGCAGGGATGATCTCCTTGCTGCAGGTTGTGGTCTTCCAGTGAGAAGCCCTGGCACTGGCAGCAGAGCGCCCTTATGCTCTGCAGCACAGAGGTCTGCACATAGCTGTAAAACTCAAGCACAGGTTTCTCTTCTTCCTGCCTGATGTTTAACACCAGGGGGGGAAGTGCTACCCTTGCAGAAGTCCTCCATCCAAGCCTTTGAGAGCGGGTCCACATGGCAGCGTGCGCGTGTGCTACGCCTGGTGCCAGGTACCACATGTGCGGTAAGAAGACACAGTTTTGTGTTCTCTCGTGAGGAATAACAAGAGTGAGGATTTATCATGCATTATATCACACAGCAGTAGCAGAAAATGGACATTCAAGTTTACTGTTACTGTTTTATTCCCCTCCTGGCTACAGAAACGGGTGTTACAACCGAAGATATCCAGAGCAGATTGCTCCCGTATCATGTGTATCAGCAAGTCTAGTTAAGAGATGTGCTGCAAAACCTATCAGGAATGTGCTTGCACATGAGGCAGTCTCATGTCCCTATTTCTTTTACTTCAACTTACAGGCTTTTCCCATCTTTGATCAAAGATCTTGGCTAGCACCAGCTCAGGCTGCTGCCCCTGATGAATCTTCCAGATTTCTTTCTCTGAGACACTGGCTCTGATAAGTCTTTTGGCTCTGTGGCCACAGATGCCAGCCAGGCACGTTCCTAATATCTTGTAGGTCTGCAAAGTGTCCGTGTTCTGCAGAAGGGCAGAACAAGGAGCTGTTACCCTGGGCTGCAAGACACCATAATAACAAACAGTGGGAAAACTGAGTTATCTCCTGAACCTTGGCTGGAGACTGAGCTGAGCTCTTAGGCAGAAGCTCTTCCCTGTGAGGGTGCTGAGGCGCTGGCGCAGGGTGCCCAGAGAAGCTGTGGCTGCCCCATCCCTGGCAGTGTTCAAGGCCAGGTTGGACACAGGGGCTTGGAGCAAGCTGCTCCAGTGGAAGGGGTCCCTGCCCGTGGCAGGGTTGGAGCTGGATGAGCCTTAAGTTCCCATTCAACACAAACCAGGCTGGGATTCTGTGATTCTATCAATATCCCTTTTTGAGCAGGATGTGCATGCAATGTAACAGAAATGTGCTTACATATACTTACGCATATATATTTCACATAAAACGATTTAAGTTATCCCACACAGCCATGGGAAATGTGTAGAAATAAAACCAAGCTTTCAAAGATGAAATACTCTGCAGACAAATATGAGAGATTAAATGGAGCATCTCTATATTCCCTAAGAAGAGTACGTATTCCTCGTATTTACTCAAAGCTTTCTTATGTGAGCTGGATGCAAAACTTCTGGGGACATGAGGGTTTAAAAATGACTTAATTTTGAGGTTTTCAACTGTGTATGTGAGTTGTGTGAAATACTTGGGGGTTAGAGCACTATAAAAAAATGTATATTTCGCAGCATAAATTAGATTAACAGCTGAGTATAAAATCCCTATAAATACAGGGGTTACAAAAACTGCTCATGGGCATTTTTGCAAATCATTCCAATAGGAATTAGTGGGGGAGCTCCACCAAGTTTTCACCCAGCAGCAACAGTGCCTTTGAGATGCAGGGATGTGCTGTGCTGTCACCGTGCCCCGCAGCACCCAAAGGCGGCTGATGCCAGCTCCTGATGTACCCACGGAATCCCAGACTGGTTTGGGCTGGAAGGGACCCTAGAGATCACCTGGTTCCAATCCCCTGCCTTGCCCTGCAGATGTGGTTCCTGCTGGTGTCTCCTGGCTGCCGGGGTGGCTGCTTGCCAGAGCCAGGAGCTGATGCTGCTGTTGCTGCAGCAGAATTGTGCTGAGTGTGTGAACCTGTCGCTTGCCGGCACAGAGCAGCGGCTGTGCTGACCCAGCAGAGGCTGAACACTGATGATCTTTTAGGTCCCTTCCTACCTGAACCATTCTCTGATTCCCTTGGCAAACCGATGCCAGGAGTACAGCTGCAATCGAGGGATTGCCAAAGAAATGAAAACCGGGAGGCAAGAAACTGCATTGTCCTCTGATGCCGGAGGGGAGACTGAGCTGAGCTCTTAGGCAGAAGCTCTTCCCTGTGAGGGTGCTGAGGCGCTGGCACAGGGTGCCCAGAGAAGCTGTGGCTGCCCCATCCCTGGCAGTGTTCAAGGCCAGGTTGGACACAGAGGCTTGGAGCAAGCTGCTCCAGTGGAAGGTGTCCCTGCCCGTGGCAGGGGTTGGAGCTGGGTGAGCTTTAAGGTCCCTTCAACCCAAACCAGGCTGGGGTTCTGTATTTTGTTTACAGTAACACAGACATTTGAAGCAGAGAATGTTTGGTTTCAGCTTAACTCCAAACCACAAATAAGTGTTTTTTCATGAAATTCCATGTGCTTGTACGTATTTTGTAGATTTTTGTCTCTTTTTCCAAATTGATGCTGGGCATTGGGCTAGGATACATCATAAATCAGTCCCAGGACTCGTATGCAGTATTTCGGTGCATAGCACATATCCAGGGAACTGATGACACTGGAGAGCATTACAACCTCAGAATTTAATAGCAATTTTTAACCTGGCACACAGGAGAACTTTGCATTGATCTCACTCTCTTGGTGTTACAAAGACAGCAGAAGTCTTGCTGGGAACTCTCCCTGTGCAGGCAGGGGCTTCGTGTCCTTCACTGCTGTTCAAAGCAGTAGCAAATAACATTGCCCTGGAAAGTGATCCATCCTGGCCAAAGTGGAGCAGGACGAGGGCCAGGATGTGCACAGGAGCACTCGGTCTGCTTGTGGAAAGGTTTTTTCTGCAATTCATTACTGCCACCAACATGGAAAAGGAAAAAACCCTCATTCCTATGCAGTATCTCCAATCCCATACATTATTTCATTGCATTTTATGAATGTTCACTTCAATTCACAATCATTTTCCAATTTCAGGCTTATCTTTCTACTTTACCTACCCAGTGCTTGCTGGGGCTCTCTCCCGTGACAGGCACGGTATAGTGTGCTTATTAATGTATGAAATTTATCTCCAAGCGATGCGCTGGTATAATTGATGTTTTGAACCTTGCCCGCATTAAAACACTCATCCACAAACAGATAAGCAAATGCAATTCAGTGCTGTGATGGGCAAGGACGTAGTACTTCTCCTTAGCTCTCACTGCCCAGTTCAGATCTTTGTCATTGCTCTGGAAGGTGCAAAGTCATTAACAGGCAATTAAAAGCCTGTCTGGCTGGGAGAGCACTTTCAGCAAGCGGTGTTAACCTTTGCGCCTATAATTTCCAGTGTCTGTAGCTGTGAGTGCTCTGATGGATCGCTTTAAGATAAAAATGATATTTAAAATTTGGGGTTTAGGTGGTGAACCCCCTGTGAGCAGTCTAAAACCATCAGTGTGCTCCTTACCGAGAGTGCACTGCTCGGAAGACACGGAAAGATGAGCTCTGAACCAGGCAGTAATTTTCCCCTGAAGGATATAAGCTCCAGGGAGACCTGAGAGCAGCTCCAGTGCCTGAAGGGGCTGCAGGAAAGCTGGAGGGGGGCTTGGGACAAGGGATGTAGGGACAGGCCAAGGGGAATGGCTTTAACCTGCCCGAGGGGAGACTGAGATGAGCTCTTAGGCAGAAGCTCTTCCCTGTGAGGGTGCTGAGGCGCTGGCACAGGGTGCCCAGAGAAGCTGTGGCTGCCCCATCCCTGGCAGTGCTCAAGGCCAGGTTGGACACAGGGGCTTGGAGCAAGCTGCTCCAGTGGAAGGGGTCCCTGCCCGTGGCAGGGTTTGGAGGTGGGTGAGCTTTAAGGTCCCTTCCACCCCAACCATTTTGGGATTCTATGATCTCAGAGTTCTCCCTGCCAGGCAGGAATCCCAGCAGGGAACAGCTGGGAGGTACTGGGATCTGGGGAACAACAGAAGTTGCTGTGTTTGCTGTGACTCCATGTCAAGTGGAGATAAATTAGCTCATGAATGATACAATTGTTCTTGCTCTCTCAGACAATGAATGTTTTCAGTTACAGTGCACTGAGGAGTTACATACACAAGTATCTCAGTGTGCTCTTCATGTTATTTTACATCAGACAGACCAGTTCTCACAAGAGCTCACACTCACTGTCCTTATTGCTATGTAAGAAAGCACACGCTGAGGATCTTACTCCTTGGGTTTAGGTCTTTTGGGAAAGGAGAATTACTGCTTTTTATTTTACTTTTAATTTGCTTATATTGATATACATTATCTAAATGTGAAAAATTCTTTTAATTAGTACCGTGAGATATGTATTAGGGCACAAAACATCAGCAGTGGGTGGTGCGGTGAGCAAGCCTGACAGGTCTCTGTGCCTGGAGGTAGGCTCTCCCACCCTCGTGCACCCACCACCACCACCCCATTAGATGCGGTCAGCCCCAGTCCCCTTCAGCAGCCCGCAGGGTAGGGGTCCCCCGCTCATGGGGTTTGCCAGCATTCATCTCCACCTGGCTGATGCTGCAATGGGCGTGGGAAGCAAGGACACCTGGTGCTGGGCTACCACCTACTGCTGGTGCCTTCAGCCTGCCCTGAGCGCTGGCTTTGCTGTAGGGTGCTGCCGGGGCAGGTCTTTGCCCAGGTGCAGACCATGAGCCCTGATGGTGCTGAAAGCCTTGAGGCCGGGATTTCACCGAGGACCACCCCTGATGTTCTGTGAAGCCCTTCAGGGCAGAGCTGCAATCAGCTCTCATGGGTGTGGAGGCTGAAGGGCTGAGCTTTGGGGCAGGGCTGGGAGAGGGCTCTTGGTCAACTGTATGAGCTTGAAGGGCTCAGGAGCCCTTCAGCCTTAGAGCTGGGGCTCCTGAGCAGCTTCCCCCTGGATGTGTGTTATTTGCAGCATCCTCCAAGCCCCCTGCTGCTGCTCAGGTGCTGGTGTGGCTTCGGGTGGTTTGTGCTCGGCTCCCAGTGATTTCTTTCTCTGCTTATTTCATTTCAGCAAAGCCCTTTGAGAGTGGGCAGTACCTGGACATCTATGGAATTACAAGGGACCAGGCTGGGGAATACGAGTGCAGCGCAGAAAACGATGTCTCGGTCCCAGATGTGAAGAAAGTAAAAGTCACAGTAAACTGTAAGTCCTCTTGTTTCTTTATCTCTAAATCCAATGGAGAAGAGGGATGTGGTTGAGAAGAAAAGGCTAATGTGCTAAACTGCTGTTTGTGGTGGAGCTGTAGTGTGTTGGGTTTGTGTTACAGCAGGGACCTGTGCTATTTGATGGATAAGTATAGTCTTGCCAAAGGAAGGTAAAATACGACTAAGGTTCAAGCTCTCTTTTTGTCTGCTGGTGATAGTGGTGCTGGTGCAGGCTTCAGAGCAGGGTCTCTCACTGGACTGTGGTGATGAGATGGAGGTTTTGGAGACTTCTTTTGAGTAATTGTCTGCATGACTCCTGAGGACTGCCGTGGTTGTTGGGCTGAAGTGCTTCTGGTTTGATTTGCCATGCTTGTGCAACAATACCTGGAGATGAGAAGCTTCTCGAAATGCTGTTTGGGTGATCAGATGGTGCTGAGTCACTGTGGAAGTTTGGAATGGTCCTGGTAGAGGCAGCAGGTTGTTTTGTGTGGTTCTCCGTGGCGAGGGCAGGAGGATGCTGATGGGGTGATGTCCTCTTGTGGTGGCCTTGGTGGGTGACAGCAGGAACCATCAAGGTGCCTGTACTGATTGTTACAGCCCATCAGGTCTGACCATCACACCGAGGAGGTGTTTCCATCTGGGGCTGAACTCGGTTTAGTGCTTGGTGTGATACGAAACCTTCAGAACGGTGTTGTTCTTCCTTCCAAGCTGCAGAAAACAAGTGGGAAGGGAATGGGGATAATTTCTCTCATTTGTTCCAACACTGGATTTTATGTGAAGTGCAATTGCCTAGCTTGTAATTTGTGGCAGTTCCTGGCTGGAATTTTGCCGTGGTGTCTTTACTGGCTGCAAATCTTTGAGGTGTTGCTTTGTGCCTCCCTCCACAGGCACTGTCCCTGTCAGCACGCTGTAGGCAGTGAAGCTGCTTGGCCCAGGTCCCTGCAGGGCTGGTGGTGGGAGATGGGGCTAGCTGCGCTACCTGGGCCTTTATGGGATGCTTCCATGTTCAAAAGCTGAATGACTGTCCTCATTTACATGGCACCAGGGTACTTGTAGTCTGTGCTGTCCTACAACATGGTGAGTCAGTGCACTAATGCTCATAGAGCAGCTGGACCATGCACTGGGTCTCACAGGCAGCTCTCTGTGCTGCTTGGCCACACAGGCTGGTGGCACTGCTGCAGGTGCTGAGGCTCTGACACCACGTGCTGTGACCACCAGCTCTTGTTCTGCAAGTCACAAGCACCAGCCTTGTCTGCAGAGCAGCTCGATGAGGCTCATGTACAATCCATCGCTGCTCTTGCTGCTTCTTTGTCCTCATTGACATGGTCCCATCTACATCAGCTTTGCTGAATTACCAAAAGCAGGCAGTGCTCTGAAAACCAGGGGCTGTGTGGGAGGAAAAACCACAGTGGATGGTGTCCTATGGAGCAAGTGACTTACCTTTTGCACAGTCTACTGATACTGGTAGGTTGTCATTAAGAGAAGTTGTGCAGCAATTGGCATAGGTGTGCCCTGGGGGTTTGGGGTGACACATCTCACCCAAGCTGTACTCGCTCCACCATGGTTTGTGCTGTTAGGTAGGTAACTTCCAATAAGGAGCAGAAGGAACTGTGAACTCAGTCTAATTTCAGGAAAACAAATGGTGCAGCTGTGTTATTTCATACCACAGGGATTTTAACCAGGGTGAAACTGGCTCTCTTGGAAGCTTTGTAGTGCTCACAAGAGAGAGAAGTTGGTAAGTCTGCTTCGTGGGTGTTTGTGGTTTTGAAATAAAATCCCACTATGTGGTAAACTCATGGGATCTCTCCTGAGCCAGGCTGTCATGTGCAGGTCTCCTAGTTTGGATACAAGCATCGACCTAGCTAGCCAAAGCCAAAACTCAAGCTTAAATGCAACAGCCGCTGACATGCCATTGATGTGCACAGTGCATCCCAAGCCATGTCAAAGTTGGAACCTTTTCTGGCTTCAGTTCATGGTTTTCTTAACCTGAGGTTTGAGCCTGTTGGATGTCTGTGGATGGGAAAGCTGACTGATGGTGTTGGGAAGGTGAAGCAGATACTTGAGTAAAGTGCCCAAGCTAAGCTTTGTCCCAGTTCAGCTACCTAGGCTAAACTGGAAGTGTCTGTGGCCATGGTGAGGGTGCATGTGGTACTGTGTCAGATGCAGGCCAACTTCTAAGTCTGCACTGGAGATACGCAGAGTATTTTGCTTTCAGTATTTCTTACAACTAAAGAAAATGGAGAGGGGAAAATAAAACTGAAGCAGTGTGAAACCAGGATCTGGGTACAGCATGGAGCAGTTTGTACACAGGAGCAGTTTGTCATAGTCAGCTAATTGTTAATGCGCTTCTGTCTTCTTGCCAGTTATACGCAATGCAAAAGCACTCCCAGCATCTGCTCCCCGCTAATGATGCTCATCTGTTTTGACCAGGCAGAAAAACAGCACATTGCATTGAGGGGAGGGTCATGCTGGAGCTGGGTGCTGCTGGAGAGCCTGGGATCAGCCCATGGGTGTGTTGATCACACACAGTGGGTGCACTGTGCTGTGGGTGGTGCTGGGCTTTGCTTCCAGCTCCTTGGCATGGGCAGCCCTGGTCCGAAAGGGATGTCATGCCTATGATGAGTAGGATGTTGCCTGATTGCTGTCCGTTGAGGTAGCCTGGCAGCAGCTTTCCATCAGTAAAAGCTCGATATTACATTGAAGAGAGCTGTGGTTTATCTGCTAATCATTATTATTTAAACTTGAAAATAAATTTTATAGAGACTTCTTGTAAAAAGAAGAGAGTGAACCTCCAGGTCCTCTTGTCCTGTGCTGAGCACTTCCTTGAACTAAGTCTTACTAAGTCCTGTTTCTTCAAGGGCACAGAAGATGCTGCAAGGGCTGGAGCAGCTCTGCTCTGGAGCCAGGCTGAGAGAGCTGGGCTGGGGCAGCCTGGAGAAGAGAAGGCTCCTGAAGGGGAGAGCTGAGAGCAGCTCCAGTGCCTGAAGGGGCTGCAGGAAAGCTGGAGAGGGGCTTTGCACACAACAGCCTGTAGGGACAGGCCAAGGGGAATGGCTTTAACCTGCCAGAGGGGAGACTGAGCTGAGCTCTTAGGCAGAAGCTCTTCCCTGTGAGGGTGCTGAGGCGCTGGCACAGGGTGCCCAGAGAAGCTGTGGCTGCCCCATCCCTGGCAGTGCTCAAGGCCAGGTTGGACACAGGGGCTTGGAGCAAGCTGCTCTAGTGGAAGGGGTCCCTGCCCATGGCAGGGGTTGGAACTGGAGGAGCTTTAAAGTTCCTTTCCAGCCCAAATCAGTCTGGGATTCTGGATTGAAATGTCCATCTCCTCTCTCACTTGTAGTGCTTACAATAGAAAATTATCTTGCAAGTAACACATGTGGCTTATGCTTCACCTCCTGCTCTTGCACCCTTGCTGCCTGATGGACCATCTTGTGCTGCAGAAGCATCACTGCATCTCAGAGTCTCAGTAATCCCTGTTTCATCTCTGTATTCCTCCACCATGTCTTGTACAGTGATGTCTTGACACCCCACCTCCAGCACACAGGCTGGTGACAGCCCATTGCTGCATTTGCATGGATATGATCACTTAACTACTGCTTCTGACACCTTATAGTACTGTTTCACTGTTATTAAAGGACCATTCTTTACTGCAGACCTGGTAACTGTAGAATAAATCAAGGTTTTATTGTGCCCGGTTAATAGAATGTATCAATGAGCCCTGAGTGGTTACAGTGGATATAAGCATAATTTTGCATATGGATATTCATCACATCCAGCAGTTGTTCAGCCATCCAAGCATGTACAAGAAAATTACCAGGTTTAAATTACTTTCTGAATTTCGAGTTTCTTGGCTGGGCAGCTTCCACCCATACATAAACACCCAGCTTGCTGCCTGCCTGCCTTCCAGCACGTGGAGTTCACCTCTAATGCCTTTACAGGTTTTCTTTAGACAGTTCCATATTGCACAGCCTGCATCTTCTATTTCATTTATGCCTGTCCCCTGTAATTTTCCCTTTAAAAATAGCGGTTTGAGAATCTGTGGTGCACTCGTCTGCCTGAGTTCTGAGGGGGGACAGGAGGGGAAAAGCAATTGAAACTGCTGATTTCTGAAGAAGGAAAACTACCAAATCAAGTTAAAGTAGATAAGATATAATCCAATTTCATTTGGCAAGTAAATCTTATTAGCGTTTTCCATTACATTTTAATAAAGCAAATACTGATTTATAGGTGATAATATTGAACCCTACTTTGTGTCTGGATTAGCAGGACTTAAATACATTGCCTGAAAGCTGGTCTGAAACTCTCTGTGTGGTGCTGTTGCTTTGCTGACTCCTGGTTTATTGGTGCCACGCTTAAAACGTGTTCAAGGCAGCTGTTAAATGGGACACTCTGCAGAAGAGTTGAGGCTGTGCTGAGGTGGAGAAGAATGGGATGTGTGCAGCAAGAAATGGGCATTTATTTTAACTTGCATGAAGTTGTCAGCTACCCAAGTACATAGCAAATGTGTGCTGCCAAATGGAGCTGTACTGCAGCAGGATTCCTGGGTTTTAGGTAATACACGCTAAGGGTCTGGGTTTCTGTAATGGTATCTCGAGCATCTCCCTTAGAGCTGGGTCCTGCAGACTTCACTGAACTAAGATCCAGTGGCTTTAGAGAGGGGGAAAAGCCGTTCAGTTGAAATTAAAAGGCAATAGTTTAATTCCAACTTGTATGAACCCCACCATGCTGCAAATTGAAGGCCACGTTCAGCCGGGCTTACCAGGGAGGTGAAAATTACAGTTCCTGTGCTGCGGGTGCCCAGTTGGCACGGGCAGTGCTGGTGCGGTCTGGTCCTGCCGGGGATGTTGTCTTGGCTGGCTTGGGGTCTTCCTGGCAGCACGGGAGGGAGGACAGGTCCTCACTGCTGAGCCAGGACACCCAGGAGGTTGTTCTGGCATGAGCTGCTTTGAAGGAAATGATGTCTAGTGCAGCCTGGTCTCGACGTGCAGCAGCTCTCCTGCC